TCGGAAGTGATTCGCGAAGCCGATCTGAGCCGGTTTGAGCCCAGACTGTCGCTGTGCTCAAAAGCCCCCTGGCAGAGATACAAATGGAGCATTTAATGAGGTAACCTACCTTCACGGGCAGTAATCAGTAATTCAGCCACGGGTAGTGAGTTTGAGAATTTGATGGTGGCGGCACCATGATCCGAGTTTTGTTAATGTGTGTGTGGGAGTATGGATGGCGCTGAGGGAGATGCGCTCATCATCATCGGATTTGGGAGGGAAACGGGGAGAGATAATGACTGTGTTTGAACTTCTGAGCGGCTTTTTTTACAGAACCCGAAAGGAGACAACCAGTAAAACCGCCTCTGTCTCGAAGGGGGAAGTCGTTGTTTCCGACAAGGAAAGTTCTCCCGGGCTCCATAAAGGGCGGCGGACGCTACGGCGAGCTGGTGCCTCACAATCACAGGAGTGAAGCGGTTCTTCCGGCCGCAGAAGGAGGTCTCGACGCGAGACGACGGGTACATCGCTGGGAAGGTTTTTCATCCCAGTCAGGGAGCAGGATGCAACAAATAAAGGCCGGCACATTAGTGGGGATGAACACACATAAAACGCTCCGATAACATTGTGTCAGGATTTGCATTTTTATTGCTGTTGTCCATTTTAATTTACCTCCACGGACGCACCAAAGGGGAAGAGGGAGGGTTTGCTTTGCTGATTTTTGAGAAAGAAAACAACATTTTTTTTATTCAGAGGAGAATGATGGTAGTTTGTAGGAAAAAAAGACTCCCATTGTGCCTCAGTGGCTCGCGCATGTTACGGTGTTGTTGTCACGGCTGTAACAATGCATTCACCTCCCCTTCGCACATGCCTCCTCGCTGGCAGGGATTCCATTAGAATACATCATTAACTATTTAAAGGAGCAGAAGCTTTAATGAGGTTTCCAACATTGATTACACAAGCCGTTAATATAACAAAAACCAACCAACTGTCCGTGTTTCCCACGATGCTCCTCAGCCACGCTGCGTTTTTGCCCACTTCTTGTAAAATACTTGTACGAGGGTGTCCAGTCAATAAATGTCACCTGTGCTCTAACGTACCAAAGAGACGAGGAGGAGTCAATTATCATTCTACAACAAAGTAGAAAGGTCAGATGACAAGATATATCGCACAGCAGAGCAACCTGCTTTAACCGCATTATTTAATATGTCCAGTTGTCGACCCGTCTGACCCAATATGTGTTTTCTATTAAAGAATCTTGATTTCCATATCAGTACAATATACAGATTTGCTTCTGTGTCACCGCTTCGCCTGTTGATTTAATTGCTTCATCCCTTCCTGAATAACAAGCAAAACGCAGCGGCTGCGCCGCAAACCCGGATCGCGGATTGATGGGAGACAAATGGCGTCCGAGACGCGGATCGATGACACGTAGCAGATTTATTACACCTTGGTATGTATTTTCCCGGAGCCACCTGGGTGAGGGATTGTTGGTCCTGACACCTCGCCGCCCAAGTAGGACAGTTAGACGCCGATACTGATCTGTCATCCATTTGAGGCGCGGTTTCCAGATGTAGCGCTGTCTTCTGAAAAGGACGCGAGGTCACTGCCGGTTGAACAGAAGTAACACAGCAGGGTGTGATGTCAATTTATAGAGTTTAAAAAGTTAAATAACAAATAATCAAGTGAGTCGGAGAGATTAAAAAGTAATAAAAGGCAAATGGTTTATCAAATGATACCCGGACAAAATGAATCTCGTTTGAGTCTCTCATCTCGTCATCATCGTTATCTTTCAGACCAAAGGAAGCTTCTAAAGAAAATCACTAAACAAGATTCAAAGCGCCAAAAAAAGATTCTGTACCTGAGTTTTAGCTGCTCATTATAAACACAAGTCACGTCATTACGCTCACCTGATGTAAACCTGGTTCACCAGCATACTTCATTACTTTTCATATTTCATATTTCAGGACGTTGGATAACGTAGATGTGTAAAGACACACAAAAGAAATGGAGGGGAGGCTTCGAGGAAAGGAAACGGCAGCAGATGGCCAGAGATCCTCCTTTAAAGGAGCGTCGCCTCAGGTTTGTAATCCTTCTCTGTGGGCGATAAAGCCTCAATCATCTCCTCCTGTCTCACTCAGGAACGCGCCTGAAACACGTGCGCCGACCGCGCAGTTATTAAAAACCGTGGAGACCTCCAGTCTCCCCCCCCCCGAGGTCTGACTGAGTGAGTGGCATGTAATAAGAGGGGAGAGCCGAGGTGTCACGGATGGAGGAAAAGCCCCGTCACGCCGGTGAAAAGGTGACGCGGCGCCGCGGAGAACCGGTCTGTCGGGGAGCCGGCTCGTAATGAATGGCCGACAGGTGTCCGTCAGAGCCGCGAGGCCCCGTCGTAACTCCCGTTTCGCTCTCTCCATTATTGCCTTTCTCATTGCTGTGCGCGGCGTTTATTACCACCGCGTAGGAGTTCCTCGCGTTGATGTGCTGTGTGCGTTATGTGGGTTACAGAAAACATGTATTTTAGAGACTGTTGTTTAATTGTTAATGTTATTTTAAACACAAAACTTCACACATTTGATCATCTTGGAGACAGAATTCCAGCTAACTTAGCAGCTAGCAGCTAGCTTAGCATAGCGGTGCTGTAAGTGGTCCGTTTGCCAGTAACTGCTCTGCGCAGTTCGCGCCGTGTGTCGCGTCTCTGTTTGTTTTACTTCCAATGCAAACACCTCCATCCATCTTCAGCTACCGTCTCGCTTTCTCCGATCTAACGGACTGCAGCTAGCGGGCGTTTCGTTCCCGCGTAAACCGGAAGAAAACAAAGGTACGTAAACTATGTTAAAGATATTTAGTCGCATTAATCGCGGCCACATTAATCGCATAGATTAACGATTTTGGACCCCTCATCTTTTACAGGGCGAAGTCTTTAATCAGGGGGCCGTGTTTCTTGTCGACGATTCTCTCGTCACTTAATTAATGGACTGTGAAGTACATGAAGGCGGAGGACCGGCGGGGCGGGGCGGGAAGTTGGGCTCCTCGGCGGACGAAGGGTTAAATCCCTTCGATGAGGAGGAAGCCCAATTATTGTCGACCACACGGATGTTTTATTAACACTTGATGTGACCAGTTTAAGGCTCCCTCGGGATCCGTGTCTCTCACCGGCTAATCCATGATGCTCTTTACGGTAATCCGTTCAAATAACTCTTCTCTAGTACCATCAATTAGGAATCAGGCCCGACGGAGGAGCTGACACTGGGCAGCTTGATGGGGATGATGCTGCTGCTGCTGCGACCCGGACCCAGATAATGATCGTCAGAGTGATCAGTGACGAAGCACCAGAGACCTTCAGCAGCGTCTGTTTCCTCCACGGTTTTTAGGTTTAATAATCGTATTATGTTGCAGAAAAAGGTTTGCTTAGTTTCATGCTGTCTATCGCCACGACTGACACTGTTTCTTTTTTATGGCTTTTCGCAAATGAAACCAGCGCAGTAAAACAGCCTTATTTTGATGATGTTTTTGATGAATTAAGTCCATTGATTAATGTTATGATAAAATCGGTGAATTGGACAAAAGGAGAATGTTCCTGACTGAGTGCCGGTGTTTCTTACTGTGGGCTTTTCTTCCTGTATACTTCACATATATCTACACTATGAATTATGAGTCCTCCTTAAAGAATACTGGTCTGGACACTTTTTCTTATCAAATAAAATAATTAAACTGGGAGTTTTTTGGTCCCTCTCCGGCTCACAGACTCGCTAACTTCCATGAGCAGCAGCACTACATCTTCAGTTCTAATGACAGCGGCGAGAGACCCGCCGGAGCTCTTTCATGGGTTGCCAAACTTGTTTTAGAATGGCAATAAGTTGTTTGGCTGGTTGTGTTGCACTGTGCATGGGGAGTTTTTCATATTTATGTTGGTAGAGTTGGTGTGGCAGAAATGTTTCTGGACAGTTGGACAGAAGAAGAATCCCTTTGGCCCCACTTGAAAGGCACGGAGGATTAAATCAAAGTCACTCAATTGATCCGGCCCTCAAACACACGTCTGATGTGTCCAATTGGGTTTTTTTTTTTACACTTGAAATGGGTCCAGATGCCTGTTCTCATGTGATTATCAAGACTAAGGGAAAGGCTCATTGTCTCTCAACTTCTAGTTCAAATTAAAATGACACACAGAAATGAGAAATGCATCAAAAGTACAATCACGAGGACTTCTTTTGTTCCTGATGACTCCAGAACCCCAAATTGAATATCAACTTAAGTGCTTTTTGGCAGAAGTCACACACTCGATGTCTCGACGCGAGCTGATTCAGAAGATGATGCACAAAGCACTGAATGAATCATCTTCAGTCTTCATTGTCTCTGTAGAGCTTTGCTACCACTGAATGGCTGCTATTATCTCGCCTATACTTTTTGAGATTTGACTGCTGGAGTTTCATTTTGGCTTAATGGCCACATCAGCGCAGACCGAGTCAGGTTATTGTTTTCCGAGTTGGAATTACTGCTATTTTTTAAATGAAAGAGCAGATGTTTATAACTACTCCGGCTGCCCCGTGAGGTGGCATCTCTCACTTCACAGCGACATGAACCGTGGATGTTTACCTCCGAAGAGTTTGATCTCACTTTGATCCAACTGAAGCAGAACATCTTCTGCTTCAGTTAAACACCAAGAATAAAGTGTTGCCTTTAAACCGACGTCTACTGCTGCTGGCGTGCGCCTGGTTGAAGCCAAAGGCCCTTTTTTACCGTATAGGTCGTGCACCACCAGCTGGTTGGACTTGGGTCATATTACAGCAGAACAAGGACTCAAGCATTCATTGACATTTGCAGACGTATGATTCTACATTTCAGCAGCACGGCCTATTAAAAGACCAGATGACGTGTCCTTTGAGTGACTCGCCTTTGCCGCTGTTCTCGTCATGTGTATTGAACAGTGGATTAGCAAAGGATTCTCCCTGATCCTCTTACGGGGTGTTTGCTCATGCAGAGCTGCAGTTGACTCCACAAGAGGAAGAAATACCTGCACTCACCTCGGGTATCTGGGTTGGAATCGGCGGTGTGAGAAAGCATCCCTGGTGACCTCCTGCAGCGCCGACGTTTCACCGATCGCTCCTTTTGAAATTGACGACAGAGAAAGATATCGATAAGTTTCATTTCAAGATGTTTTCTCGAGCCACTGCTTTTGACCGGACACAATGCATTCAGTGGAGGCGACCTTCCTTCGCCGCTTCCGTCTCGGAGTTGAATTCAGCAGCATGAATGTTCCCTTTTTCTCTTTTCAAAAGCCTGAACCACTTCATTAACCTTATCTGGCAAGCAAAGCTGATGAAAGTCTGTGTTTCAGTGTCCGGTCTCGCCAAAGTTAGTTTTACTAATTAATCAAATACGCCCTACGTCCTCCCCCTCCCCCCACCCTGAAGGGAATGTGCTGCACAAATTGCACGCGGGAGTTTACATGGCCACAACTCTATGCATTTTCATTGGTAAGTTAAAAGCTGGACGAAGCGAAGCTTCCTGCTCGGGAGGGATGGATGTTTTGTATTCACTACAATAAATGAAACAGAAATGAAAGATGATTTTTTCATCTCTTCTCCATCTTGCGTCCCCGCTCTCTTAGGATTCTATTCTCCACAAGCGCTCAACGATGCAAAGCCGCAAATTTCCCACGCTACATACAGCACATATTAAATATCCGCGCAAGACGAGCTCCAGATTACTGCGCAATCAGTATTCACGTTACTGCTCCGGCGAAACAATTCTGTGCTCTCCACCCCCTCGTGATTCAGAGTGCGCGGCATGAAACGCAGCGGCGAAATTCAATCTCCAGCAATCGCTGGTGGAGATCTGCAAAATGGTTCGATTTTCCCTTAAATGAGAGCACAATAGATAATGCGATTCAATTAGCTGCTAAAGCTGCTATTTGCATCTCGGTGAAAGGGGTGATGGTTTAAGTGGCCCGAGGCAGCTGCCTTTGGGCAAATGCCCGAGACAACACAAAAAGCAGCGGAACCGAGAGAAAAGGCGAACTCGGCAGTCTTCAGCGGTATTCTTTTAATTACTCGTCATAATGACTCCATTTAGCCGTTCAATGACCCATTTTAGGGCATTGAACGGGCATGGGAAGCTCTCTGTCCTTGGCAGGGACCGTCCTGCAGCTGCCCCGGGCCTGCCATGCTTTAATCCAGAGGGCAACCCCCCCTTCCCTCCCCTCGGGGCTTTAAAGGGTTTGCGTGTTTTGAAGAACGATCGTATGAGGTTCTTATCCATCGTCAGTTTTTTAACGGTGGATTGCGGTAAAACACATGTTTTAGACGGGGGGGGCAGCAGGAGAACCATTTTGTAGCCGACGAAATCAAAAGTGTGCTGCAAATGTTCAGAATATTTGTTCAACAGAGAACGGAATAGAAAGTTAAATTCATCTGTGTGATTTTGGTGCATAGATACATATTATTTTCTCTTCTGTTCCCCGTCGGTAATCGGCTGTCTGGCGGCAAGATGAAGGCGAGAATATTGCAGCTACATTAGAGTGTAATATTGATTCCTTTAGGGGGCTGAAATTGAATAGCGGACATTGTTCTGCTCCAGTGCTGATTCTCCTCTCTGTTGCTCCAAATGGGATAAAGTCAGAAGGTACATACATGTACAGTGACGTGTTAATAACGAAAAGCCGGTGGATGCTGCATTAATATCTTAATTGCTCCTCATAAGACGTGTCGGCTCGGAGGAGGAGGGACGGCTGGAGGTTGTGAGGAGGGACGGATCCCATATGGTTTTGAGGAGCTGACGTTTCTGGCACGTCTGCAGGACGCTGACCCAGAGCATTGAAAGGTTGAGCACCGGCACCGCGTGACCGACTCGGCCCAGCTGCTGAGGCGGCGAGGAGGAGCGCACGTGGACGTTAGGACCGAAATAGCTCGCCGGAATCAATCAGAATTGAAATCGTGGCCAATTTGTTTTGTCGTTAATCAACTTTCTATGAGACGACTTCCGTCACACAGTAGTAATATTCAGTTATCGTGCTTAAAGGATGTTTAGGTTAATTTCCGATAATCCGGGCAAAAAAAATCCAATTTGGAACACGTGAGCAGAGGGATCGGCCGTGTGTATTTATATTTGCATGAATAAAGAAGTCAAAGTATGCAGAAAAGAAGTGACCTGGAGTCAATGCATGTGTGCCCCCTCGTCCTCTGGTGCACCATCTTGTGCCTCTTCATTAACTGAGGAGATTAGTGAGCTGAAGTGCTCCACAGAGTGAAGGCCTCACATTCAGAACAACAACAGCAGAGAGTGAAATCGGCCATGTGGTTCCAGCATCTCGTCCCCGAGCAGACGTTACTTATACATGAGACAATGCTGAGCTCATTAAAAGCAGGAGGTGTTCCAAAAGTAGGATTGTCAAGAAGATCTCTTCCACATTTAAATGATTTTGCTCATCATGATGACCAAATCATCATGAATGCTTTTGATTTAACGTCATCAGGGTTAGTTTCAGATTCAGTTTCAGACGAAAGCGCAGAAGTCGCAGCTCGCTCGGTTGTTTGTATGTTAACAATTCCAGCTGTTTCCAACTGTGAACCTCCTCCAGCTGAAGTACGTTCCCCTGGAAACGTAACCGATGGCGCAGTTTGTAATTATTGGCGCAGTTAGATGATTTATTGATCTAATTGGAAACCGGTATAAGTGCCTATTGCAAGTCCTTTGTTTTGTCTGACGATCAGTCCGCAGCATGTTTGATTTCCAATAATGTAAGTCAAAGAAAGATTCCCGCGCTCGATGAGCCGGCACCATAAAACATTTGTCCTTTTGGCTTGAACGCTTAAAAAGATCTGCACATCAGAAGTATCTCCTGGAAAGGGAAGCAGAGCCACACATGCATTTCTTCACAAGGACGGGGAGGAAAGTCAAATTCAGCATTTTGAGTCGAGCTCTGAGGAAACTATTTTGAAAATGAAAGAGGTTTAAATGTAGCAGATGCAACTGTAAAGTGGATGCAAACTGTTTACAAGAAGATACGACTGCGGCTCTCAGAGTTCGACTCCTCGGTGGATCCGGTGAGCAGCAGATGGAACCAACAACCAGCAGCAGAGAAAGTTTCCTCAGAAATGTGCTGACCTCGGCACACAAATTCTGTTTGGTACATGTGAGGGGGGAAAAAAACATAGACCGGTGAACTTCTTCATATTGTATTGTAATATAATGTTTTAACCTGCGTTGTTGTAGCAAGAGAGGATAAATCTCAGTGGTTAAGCGGTAGGAAGGGACACATGGTTGGCTCCTCGCGTGGCGCACTTCAGTCAGAGTAACCCGCATCGGATCATCTTGACACAATGACAAGGTTTAGGTGGCGAATACATCTGCTTTACGCTCCACGGACCCCGAGCTGCCAATCAAGGGGCTCTTGCGAGATGCTGAAGAGGGTAGAAAAGTACATCTGCACAACCTGGAGCACGAGGCTGAGCAGCGCCGTGCTGTAGAACCATAATCACACCAAACAGATCCGGCGGAATGGCGGTGTTACATCGGGATGTAATATAAACGCTGGTGGATCCAATTGATCGTGACAAAACCGAACCGGAGGCGGAGTTATTCAGTTCACATGGTATTTTCTAATCTAATGTGAGGTTTGCATCTGAGTGACTCCGAGAGCCTCAGTAAAGCCTGAAGGTGTCGGAATGGAGAAGCAACGCGGCTACTTTCCCCTTTGGAAACACACAAACAACAAGCCTCGGGCAAAGCTACACACACACACACACACACACACACACACACAGAAGGCTTCCATTCAAACACTTGGCCATGCGCATGCGTTTGCACACAGTAAAGTTTGAAATTGCCTTCCTAAAAATAGACATGCGGTAATACTTACTGTAGCCTCAACCATAGCAAATGCTATCTACAGTAAAAAACACATTTGGAGACAGAATGGGTTTCCTGATAGCTTAATGAAAGCAAGATACTGGTGTGCTATTCCTTCACTCATTCAATATTTAACTAGCATGGCATGCTTTCTAGAGCACACATAATTATGTTGTAATGGCTCTGCAGGAAAATAGAACATGGCTGCTCGTGGACTTAACGGCGAAATGACTGTGCTGTGTGGAGGCTTTCTGCCGCACGGAAAGAGAAAGGAACCGTATGAGACGCAGGGTTTTCTTTGCTATGAATGTGCACATCTCAAGTTGAATTGTGCACGCTGCCTTAAATAGATGCAAATATTCAGTCGTATAGTGGCTCGACAATTTAGGTGATTTAAATTGTTAATGATTCTGCCAATAAGCCACCTTCTAGTCATATACTCTACACACTGAATACTTGATTTTCTGTATAATATTTCTACTATTATTGGATGTCTTCACAGATAGTGAAGGGACTGCATGAGAATCACTGGGTCGGCATGAGGTGATCATGAATAATTTTGATTAAAAAGTAAGGCTCTCCCCATTATTCCCTTTATTCCGTTTGGTCCCCTCCACATTTAGAGAACAGCCATAACATAGAAAACGTATTTGCTGGACTTGTGTTTTTATAGACAGGGTCAGAAAACCCAAACTTAATTAAAAGTGCTTCAACGGTAATGAGGTGAAAAGCAGCGTCATGCTCGGTCTGCTGGGGCCTGATACGGAGGCCCCCCCCGGGGGCCCTTTCCGGTCCTCGTGAGACGCAACGTTCCGTCGACTAACGCCTAACCAACCCATCTCCACCGTCGTCAAGACGGCCAGAGCCGGTGTTGCCGTGACGACGCGTCCCGAGACCTATGGGCCGAGGTGGGCTGCGAGCGACGGACAGCCTTCAAGTTTTCTGCCTCGTTTCCCGTCTCCTCTGCGTTACGACACAAACGCACACGCAAAACATCTATTTTTCATTTGATCCTCCGACAGATATCACGGATATGAAATGAAATCAATGTACGGACAAAAATAAAAGACTGCAGCATTTCAGATTCCCGAGGTGAGAAGTAAACATGCTTTTTGCAGATCGAGACCCTGAACTGAGAAAGTATAAATGGAAACCACTTCATTCTGTCTGCCGGTATTACCATGACAACTCATTCCTGCTAGAATCTAGGATCCTTTTGATGGTGTGTTTGAATTCATGTTGCGAAGGTGTAGCCA